AAATAAGGGCGGTTTTCATATGATCACTCCTATATATATATATATATATATATATATATATATATATATATATATAGTTTGGTTCAAATACTAACCAAGATTTTTGTGTTAACTTTGTTAACGAAAACAGGCTAGTCTCGCGTGATCTAAATATATATATATATATACACACACATATACTTTTTTTGGACCGCAAGAAAGAATTTATTAAGAACGGAAGAAAGGATTAGCGAGGAGCTAGTTGTTAACAGAGTACACAGTCTCAACCGGATTACAGATCCATCTCTCCCAGCTAAAAAGAATTGCTACCTTTTGCTCTACATCTAATCCAATCATAAGCCGTGAATTGAATCTCACTACAAACTTTCTTATCAGATTTGCTCTTTTCGTTGAACGTCTTGCGGTTCCTTTGATTCCAAATGGACCAAAAGAAAGCTGCCATAATCACCTTGCTAACCTCTCTTCTGCAGGTATCCCCTATCATTGAAATTGCCGACCACATTTGACGTGCCGAGGAAGCGTTTGCCGGCCACTACTCTACCCACGAGACCAAAAGCGCATTAATTACCTTTGCAGTGGAGCAAGTAACAAAGACGTGGTCCAAGTTCTTCGCCGTCACCAAACACGTCTGACACTCGTCCGAGTTGAGCACCATGCCACGCTTCAAGAGGTTGTCCTTTGTTGCTAACCGATTGTTAAGCGTACGCCATAAGTGGATATTAACTTTACTGGGAACACACACACATATACTAGAAGGGTACCCATGCAATACAACGATGTACATTTTGATTCTAATGTTTCGTTTTATATTTTGGGTTTATCGATGTTATAATGCAATTTTATGTGGTTTTGAGAAAAATAAAATGTTTTTATTTTTGAATGAAATATAAATTTGAAGATATTATAAAATCTTGAAAAAATAAGTGATATTGATATCAAATTAACTATTTAAAAGTTCTCGTTTTTGTGTATTTTTTTAATTCAAAATTTTATTATAATTTAATTGAAGTTTAAAAGCGAATTAATTTATTTTTGATTTAATAAAATAAAATTTTAAGATAATAATTAATTATTCTGTTAGAACTCAATAATTATCCTAATTATATTTTAGATATTTTATAATTAAAATGAGATATTTATCCTCTAAGATTATGCTTATCTGCATTTAGTTGCATGAATTCAAACATTAAGTTTTAATAAGTTGTATTTACGCATAATTTACTTGTAATATTGAATTCTAAGTAGTATGCATCAATAAACAGTACTTCATGCATAAAAAATGGTTTTTAAGATTTTTTATAAAATGTTTTATAATATAGTATAGAATATATGTATTATATTTCCTCAAATATTGACAATTATCTTTTATTTTACAAGAATATTCAAATACAAAAACTTACAAAACCTAATAGACATATATGACTTACTTAGGGACACGAAAATAAAGTGGTATAGGATTATGGGGTTCAGGTTTATCATCCCACACTGAAAAAGCACTCCTTGAGTTCATCCAACGATCCGTCATTTCTGGATAGTGTCGGTCCAAAACATCTTTCAAACTCTCCGTTGTATTCACCCATTCTAGCCCTTTTTTCGTGTACACATCTTTGTTAAAATCACTCGTAAAAAATCTATCTGCTTCGAGTCTCCTGTAAATTTAAATTAATTGATTAGTAGATTCGTTCAATATGTATTTTAATTTCTTAGGTAGTTGAGTTTTCTATACCTTGATGCCATGATGATAAAAATTACAAATGCAGTCTCGCTAATGGCAAACCCTTTGATCTTTTTCTCTGCTGACATTCCTACCAACAGATCGAGTTGCTCTACGTCGTCACCATATACTTCACGCAATGTCTTAATAGCTTCTTCATCTTCTGTTAGATCTTCCCAGTTGGAGATGGGGATAAGTAAAAGAGATCTACGGAACTCATTGTATCTCGCTACATTCCTTTCTCTGTCCCTATAAACTGCATCACCATGTGTTTTGATCAACGAATAAAAACATAAATTTACTTGCCCATCAAAAGACGTACACAAAAATGTCATCCTAACTACAATAAGAAAATTAATCTAATCCCAAAAGCTAGAGGCAAATGTATATTTCGAATCAAACTCTAGATTCTGATCATGTTTAAAGAAAGAAAATGATACTTACTCTCGAGGGAGGCTAAGTCCACATGATTGGGCCGATCTGTGCCATCAACATTTTGAGGCGCAACGTCCCTAAGCCACAACGGATAATTCCATAACTCAAGTGCCCCACATGATTGATGTCCCATTGATACCATTCGTGTTGTAAATCCAATTTCTGATAATTCCTCTTCTCCTTTATTTCCGATCAAATTTAACATATCTATTCTGTAAATTTATGATAATCATTCACATAAAAAATACTTTTACAAGAAAATAATCTGACTCATCTCATTTTTATTGATAAAAAAACATATGCACAAATCGTTAAGATATAATTTTCCTTATTAAAAAAGCCTGCTAATCTATATCGACTCATACGTGTCCAAAAAGTCTTACTTTTTGCTCAATTTTGGAGATTTGCGAAGGCCTGGTGTTGAATTAACATCCCTAATGAAGAGTTGATCGGGTAAAAGGGAGTGCATTCTGTAAACACTTGTAAACTCTTCTGTTAATGAGTACGGAATTCCATGGTTATTGGGTTTCTTTAACCCTATAAGACCTCCCAAGATGGCCCCACCAAAACGCCCAAACGTGTCCTTGAATCTTTTCCCTAGTAACCCATACCTGAATCAATCAAATTTTAACAACAATACTAATATTCCATTTCAAGAATAATAACACAAAATTAACACCATTACCAGTTAGCTCTCATCGCAGCAAGAAGGGTGTCAGTTTTGAGAAGCTCAACGGTCCAGTCAATGGTGTGAATTTTGGCAATCACCGCAGAAGTTACTAGTCTTGCATGACGATATAGATGTTCATCATCCAACTCACCATATTCTTCCTGATTATTACAAGTAATTTGAGACAAATGTTACTAGATATTAAATTGCAGTTTATTGCAAGAATGGATGTATGTATTTGTCATATATAATATATAATTCAGAAAAAGGGAAGATAATGAATGTGTATATATGTGTGTACCTTTAAGACATCACAAATGGCATTGTGCTCAAGGATGAAGAGGGCTTGTAAGGTCGATAACCCAATCCAATTATTACGAATATCACCCGCTATGCGCAATCCACCATTGTCACTTTGGAGGAGGCCGTCTTTCGCGATCTTGAGCTTTCCGTCTTTGAATGTCCTTACTTGCTGCAATTCACTAGAACCGCTTCCGTATATTGCACTCGCATCCCTGTATTTCAATGGACACAATAAATGATTACTGTATCTGAAATACATTGCCAAAATCATGTTGTTAATATGTTTCCAATGAATTAACAATTTCATTATCATATCATATGACATCTCATAAAAATGCCTCAACATTTTACTTTGTAACAAAGTACAATAAAATTACTGTTTTCATATTGTTCTATGCTATTAATAAACTCTCATTTCTGAAAAACAAACTATATATTTTTTGGGGAAATATCCCAAAATCTTGGGTAACTTATTATTTTACAAGACATGAATATAAGTTTTGCGGCTAAAATATGAATTTCACAAGTTTTCAGGGTCGATTAGTGACAAAAAATGTTAATGGAGTAATCAAAATGGTAGCACGGATACGATTTTATCAAGTTCTAGTGCATTTTATAACTCTAAAAAAGCTAAATATTTAAAACGATGACAAAAGGACAATTTATAAAGTTATGGGACATACCTTTAAACTTAGAAACACTTTAAATATTTAAATATATAGGAACTAAAATACCAATTTGTGAAACTTCAAGAAATTCGTGAATATGTTGAACTAGTCGGACTTGACTCAAGACCCGCTCTAGAAATCCAACGTGTTAGTCTTTAGCCGAAGAAACATATATGACGTAAATGCATGATGGTCATTTAAGTGATCTGGATCTAAATTATGACATGTATAGATTATTCAAGTTTAAACCTACTTCACAAACATAATCAAAACCTAATTGTATCAACTTATTCACAACGAGTTTTAAACTAGACAAGATTGTTGGATGCATTTTGGTGTAAACATCATTAAAGTCAATCGATAGTAGATCTCCCATACCCATATGTAAATATATTTTAAAATGTATTAAAATTGCATTATTATTATTATTATTATTATTATTATTATTATTATTATTATTATTATTATTATTATTATTCGGTCAACGACCTTTTTGTCCAGTAGTGGTTATTGGCCATTTAACAGAACATGTCCCTCAACTATCTGAGTTTTGAAATCCGGATGCCATACTTCTAATAAATGTCATTCAACCCCTCACAGTTTCTGAAATCAACATTCAACCTTCTTTACCACTTAAACTTCCAAAATTTTGAAAATTTCACCTTTGTTTTCAACATTTCCAAAGTTTCAAAATAAGTCTAACTAAGTTATGTTTAATAATTATAAACTAATCTATTTTTCGAGTTTATTTAAATTTATAAGTTATAACTTCAATTTTTGAGAAACAACATCAAATAGCTTTTAAATAAGCTTTAGCGGTGTTTTTTTTTTCTTTCTAATTGTCCCTATAAAATAATCAATTATTTATCAATTTAGATCAGTAATTTTATATTGTTAATTTAAAGTGTATTTTATTAATCAATAGAAAAAGAAATAATCTATAACATAATTATTGACGATGCAGAAAAACATGAGACAATGATTTTTGATCATCACAATTAGTGGTGAGTAGGGTGTTCCATATATGACAAATGTAAACATGAAACTTTGTAAGAAATCATACCACCATGAAGTTCTAATATTAAGATGACCTTTCTTAATGTCATCTAAACCGGTATCAACATTTTTAGTCTTGTAGAATTTGAATGATTTGAAAGGGCATTGACCGACTACTTCTGCAGGTGCCTTGAGTTCAATCTGCAGTGAAAATCAATGGTCATGTATTAGTGCACCATACGTCATATTATACATGCATGCGTAAATCTATATTGATGGAACCTGCTCTGTTGACTCCAAATGATCAATCCAATCATGGACCATGAATTGAATCCATGAAGCAGCAATCATGTTGAACTGTTTTTTGTTGTCTTTAAGTTCTCTGCGCGCTAGAAGCTTTGTAGCCACCAACACGGGATCTGGCTTCAATAGCTACACACAACGAAGATTTTAATATCTTTTTTTTTTCTTTTCGTGAATTACTTCTATTTGTAGTACTGTAAGTATCTGGAAAAAAGAATCGAGCAACTAATTCTGTAAATATAAAAAGTGAATAGTATCATATCAATTTAAATTAAAAAACCAATAGTAGCTAAAAATATAAGTGAATACTAGATATTTTTATGACCATTGATAATTTAAATGTGAACTTGAATAATAAAGTCAAAACCAACGAAAGTAGTCGATAGCATGCAATATTGATTATTTTTATTTCCATCAGGACAGGCACTTGACTTATCTATATGACTAAGGTGATGTTTGAAAACTTGTTGATAAACCAGTTGGTGACTGCTAAGCTAGATGGTAGTTAATAAAATAGGTGATGAACATATCATGTTTAACAAAACTAGCTGATAAGTTAGATGAAAAATGTAAAATGACCAAATTTTTTTTTAAAAAAATTAATCAATTATAACATTTCATAATATAATTAAAACAAAATCCTAATTATATAATATGTTAATTAATAAAAACAAGATAGTCAAGTTAAATAACATAATATGTTAATTAAAAGAACATCTAGAACTTCAGATTGAAGAATATATATATATATATATATAGGAGGTTTACTTTACAAACCATATTATTTGTACAAACCATTCAAATATCATTCAACTAATCATAATTTTTTTATTGTGTTCATTTTTTTTGTAGTTATGAGAGGTTGATTAATCACTTTTATTGTGACGGGTGTTAATCATGGATATGATCATCTTTATTATATTAATTTTAGAGAAATATATGAAACAGTTTCATTCAAATTTCATATGTATTATATGAAACAATTCATCAAAAAAGTATTATATGAAAGAATTTCATAAGATTAAACAATTTAATGAAATTTTTTCGTAAGATTAAATAATGAAATCGACAGACGAGGGTAGTTTGCACGATTTGTACAAATATGAGTGGTTTKCATTTGATCGCTCATTTCTCTCTCTCTCTCTCTTTTTATATATATATATATATATATATATATATGTGTGTGTGTGTGTATATGTATATAAATTTTCTAATATAAATTTTAGAAAAAATTAAAATTAATTTATAATTATAAATAACTATTTTATACAATATGAATAAAAATATTAATCACACATATACTAATTAATCAATAATTTGAAAAAAATATAATTAAATATTTTATAAAATTATTTAGCACCAGTTTTATTGTCTATAAACAAAATAAATATACCTTTAATTTTTATGTAATTTAAATAAACATTTCTAAGATTGTTATATTTTTGCTTTTTGAAAACTAAATATATTGAATAATAAATTAAAAAATAATAGTATAAAAATTACTGATATTATTAATTATAATTGTATATAATTTTGTATAATATATAACTAATTTAATTAATAATTAGCATTAATTAACAGTAATAATTATTTGTTATTCATAATTAATTTGTAGTGATAAATCACACTTAATATTAATCAAGATTATAATTGAAAAATGTATTAAAAAGATTCTAAAATACTACTCCAACTAGTGTTTTAATAAGTTAACTTATATCCATTTAAACAAATACTCAAAAAATAAGGTAATTTATGTTAAACAATACGTAACTAATATCGAATGGAACTTCATAAACAAAAGCATGATCATAGACCACCAGTGATAACCCTTAATCATTTTTAATCTCCAGTGCATCTCTTTATTGTTGACATTCAATTAGTATTCTTTCAAGGATGAAGATCTTTTCTTACGTTTTTCACCACAATCCAACCAGTAAAATTATAACATTGTTTTATTCGACTTTACAAATATCTACATCCTGTGTATTTCTCTTGCAGAGGAAGAGAAATAATAATGGAAAAAGAAAAGACAAAGATATGATATATAAGCTATCGGCCAAATTGATGAACAACTATTTGACAAAACTCTATTAAGAAATTGATAAAAAGAATTAAATATATTTATATCAACTTAAATAGAATTATATAATAAAATGTTAAATTGACTGTTTATTTATTGGAGAATATTAATTTCAACAAATAAAAACAGACACCGACAATTACTTGGCTTGTTTTATCATTATGTATTTATATTTATATTTAAGTATATGATAAAAAAATATTTTTTCAAAATTTGAGAAAACTAGCTTTTTTAATTATTGATTTTTTTTGTATAATAAGTAATAAACTATTAAAAAAACTATTTTAAATAGTTTATAATAAGCTTCATATTTTTTTTTATTCAGATATACCTATATCTTGAATCGAGATTGTTGACTAATTTGTCTGTATTTTAACTAATTCAATATCTAGTTTTTATATAACAGTTGAACTGATAATTTATGTTTTAAATATTTTTTAACATATTTTTAGATTGTTTTATATTTTTATCTAACTTATAAACTATTTTATTTAATTATAAAATCTAATTAATTTATCAAATAATCACTAGTTTATTAATCAATAAATTATTATCCAATTAACAATTAATTTATCGATAAGCAATTCTTCAAACTTTTAATAGTCACCTTATTTAAAACAGAATATATATTAACATTTTTTTAAATTAAACTCTTACCTAATATTCTTTAATAAACAAATTAACTTTACGAATTAGTAATTTATTATCTATTTACTTGTATTATTGGGTATTATTTAATTAACTATCAGAGACTAATTAATGTTTTAGAGATCATCAACCGATATCTACCTTGATTATTATTTTCAACAAGACTTTTTATTTTATTTTTTATTCTCACTATAATAAAATTGACCTTATAAAACATTAAAAACACCAAAATGTCCTATCACAATGTTTTATAGATTTAAATTTATAAAACTAAATAATAAAACGCTATATTTATAGATGTTCCAATAATTACAAGACATGTTTGAACATCGTAACAAATTTTTTAAAACATTTTTATAAAAATAATTTATAGAAGACTATTTGGAAAAATATTTTAAACAAGAGTGTCATATAAAAAAATGTTTTATAAGACATTCATTAAAAATATCATATAAAATAGTTATTACGACATTTTATTTTTAATTTTTTTTAAAAACTTATTAATTAAGAAGTCTAAAAACGTTTATAAATTGATTGCAACACTTTTAGATGTAATCTTTTATTGAATATATAAAATAATCTGAATAAGATACTTAAATATTATTGACGTCCTATAAATTCGATTTTAATTTAGTTTTTTTTACATTAGGTATTAAGTTATATATTTTTAGAGAAAAACAATATCCAATTTGGCAATTTGCTAAAAAAATCGAAATTTTGAATTGGTTTTATATGGATGTGTGAAAGAAGCGTTTGAAGAGCTTCATAATTAATTATAATTGTGACAGTAAAGGGTTTTAATTAATATTTATTAATATAATAGTTTTTGTTTTTTTAAAAAAATTAAATTATATTTCTAATATTGTAGCAGTTACAATAATCACTATCAACCATATACAAAACTAACAATAAACATCCAAGACCCAATCGCCCATTTTTTTTCACAAAACCAAATCCTTTGTCGTTGTCTATTCATCATAGTATTGAATAAGATTTCTTTGTCATCAAATCCCATTTTATCTCTTCCCCATTAACCATGTGAAGTTTATTATTTTATTTAATATAAATTTATTTCACCCATCTTTTTTATTTGTAATGATTCTTTTTCACATGTAATATGTAGAGAGGAAGGAAACATGCGATTTCAAACAAGAGTTTTATTTGATAACATTCTTGGTGGTAATCGATTAAACCGGCCTTCGTCTGTAATATTTATAGACACGTCTGATAAATGAGGTATCAAGTATTTTATAATGCAAGCTTATATAATTTCCCTCTCCAACCGATATAAGATCTTAGAGTAGATGTCGCTTTGAAATCAAGAAATAGTCAAATTTAATATTGGTGCATGGACAAGGCAGACAATTAATATATGATACTATTGGCCTGAGATGATATCAAACTGGTGAACTAGACTAGAGGCTGGGCTTCCAAAGGGTTGGATTGTAAGATCCTTTATCGGTTGGAGAGGGGAACGAAAGTTGTCTTATAAGGGACTGAATACCTCATTTTTCAGACGTGTTTTAAAACCATGCGTCCAAGTGTACATGGACAAAGTGTACAATATTTATTACGGGTTCACATGAGATGTTACAACATTACCACGACATCCTATCATAATTTGCGACACAAGACACTAGTATAATTAAAAACATCTTCAACAACTATGATAAAGTAGACAATTTTGGCAATTTAGAAGTTCTTTTCTTACTTCAATAGCTATGCTAAACTGTATGATAAACATAGATTAAAAATAGAGAAGATATAGAAATCTTCAAATTTGAATAAATCTATTTTAATTGTTTCCACCAATGAAGTTGAATGTGTTATAATATATAATCTACTGAATATTCTAAAAAATGCATGAGATGAGGAATTTATAGATTACTTTAATTTAATTAATAATTAGGTGTAATATGTTATTTTTAAAAATTTGATTTCTGGATATTTTATTTGAAAAAAGATACAGCTTAGATGTTGTAAGATACTCTAAGATTTGAATTCAGGATGGAGTCATCTTAATTATAATCAACACTACTGATGCGTTGGAAGTTGGAAGTAAGATTTGAGTTATAAATAAATCAATATTAATGGCGAGTCGGAAGTAAGATTTTTTATCCATAAATCAACATTAATGATGAGTTGGACGTCAGAAGCATATATACCTTATCTTTCTGATCAACAGAAGGCATGTTCCGGCCAAAGAAAGTTCCTTTACTGCCGGCAAATTCATTCGAAGGATCATTGAACTTTCCGTCCGCTGTTCTGAACGGAAAGTCACGGGGATTGAACCCATCCCCCACCGGAGTTTTCTCAACGTTCACCAAATTGTATTTGTCATGAAGACGGCGGCGTATACCCAAGTATGACAGCCCCAAGAAGACCGGCAAACGGTGCCACCCGATCCCAGACTTATCAACACCATGAACGTTCTGCACACAGTTAACATCACCATTTGTGCTCAAGTAAAATAATCAATGAAACAGAATATATACATGCAGAATAATGCAGATACGTACCAGAAAGAGAAACTTGTCGGTGAGTGTCATCCTTTGAAAGATTTCATGGAAGTCGGCATGGATGAAGCGTTTGATGGGTGAAACAAGCAGACGAGATTTTGCAGAAGACATAAATTGAGTCGTGTTTAATGTTGGGGAGAAATGGGTTTAATTTTATATTAATTACCACACCAAGATGGCCTATTTAAGAACTTTGTGGTTTAAATCTTGAAATTACGTATAAGTATAATCAACAAGTAACCAATGAAGAAGATGATGGGATTTTGAAGACGAGATTGATTTGCGACCAGATGACATATATATATATATATATACACACACACACACACACACTCTTAACCACTACCTATAAAAATTGCAATTAATTTTTAATACAAGGGTTGGATCGAATCATAAGTTAAAATATATTAATATAGATTTTTAATAGGAAACAATGTATATGAGCTGTGACTGGATTTTCTTAATTTTGATTACGATTTATAATTAAAAAAGTTGACGTCAACCTTGTTAGTCTTTGTAGTTTTATAACGTTAATTTTATTGACTTATTAAATTAAATTCATGAATATTTAATCTTCAATCACATTGTAATAATTTTGACCCATAAAACATTAATTGGACATACTTAAAATATTTTGAGTAACTAAAAATCAATACTAGAGTCCTTTTTTTTTCCTTTCAATAATTTACTGAATGATTAATTAGTCACTGGTTGTTTTGGCAATGTTTATTTCCAATCTAGTAACCAATTTTTTGCTTTGTTCTTTCTAATTTATAGATGCATGTTAGTAACGAAGAATCGTGTGAGAATAAAAGTTAAGGTGAAAAACGTGAGAAGGAAATGAACCCTTAATTTCAAACTCACTCATTAATCGAGTTTAATATGAGAATTGATCCAATGGATCTTGGTGCATCTCATTCTAACGTGTATTCAAAGATGAAGATCTATTTTTATGTTTTTCATCAGGACCCAACCCTACACATTGTTATGTATTAGTCATTCATAACTAGTAATTGTTTATCACAATTTCATTTAATTTAATTCTACACCACGCAAACGGAATAGCATAATTGTTGGAGTAAAAATATATCTTAATTCTTCACATTGTTATGCTCTAAGTTCCTTAGCTTCACGTGGTGTATAATAAAATTAAACGAAATTGTGATAAATAATTACGAGTTATGAGTGATTAATACATAACCACTATGTTAAATAGAGACCTGAGATTTAAGATATATTTTTCCTCAAACTATGCTATTCCGTATGTTAAAATAGAGAAAAAAATAAAGACGGTAGAAATCTCAAAAACTCCATACTTAAGAGAGAGAAATGATATTTTAGTTCACATGAGACATTGAAATTACTAGTATTTAGAAGAGATAAATAATATTTTATTAAATGTATCAAATATAGTAATTATATAATTAATAGTAGAACCGCGAAAATGAAATATTTGTTGAAGTTGGATATAATTTTTTTAAAAGATTTTTAATTTTTGATATCTATTTAAAAAAATTATAACATAACTGCTAGACTGCGCTTGGTACATTGGACTGGACATGACGGAACAAAACTCATTGTCCCACGTTTGACACGACATATGATAAGACAATAACTCAATGTCCCATGTTTGGTGCGATATGGGACAGAGACAAAATCTAGGACAAAGTGGGACATTGTTGGACAAAAAAACATTTTTCTTGTTCCATCAAAATAGATGGAGTAAAATGAGACAAGAATGAGATAAAAACTAAAATATTAATAATTAACCATCGTTTGATATATAGCCTTAATATGATATTTGTTTTAATTGTCAGCACCGCTAATCGCAACCGCCGCCATTACCGGTAGCCACCGTCGACCACCTCCACCTCCAGTACAACAACCTCTTCCACCAACTCCACAACCACCATCGTACATCGCCACCTCCACATCCACCGTCGTCCACTGTAACCATCTGCCACCTCCATCTTCTCCTCTTCTACAACAACCTTCTCCTCTTCTACAACAACCTTCTCCACCACAACCACCACCGTTCATCGCCACCACCATTACCACCGTAGCCCACCTCACCTCCACCATAACCACCACCATTGCCCACCACCACTATTGGCTACCACCACCACCATCTACCATCTTCACGTCCTCCATAATCACCGTCGGCCACTGATCGCCGTTGTCCATCTCCACCACCACCAGTATTGTCGCCCACTACCTACTCCACCATAACCAACACCACCTTCGCCAATCGATAAAAATCTTTCAAACCGAATAAAACACAATTTCTCCTTTGTACGAATAATTTTTTTTTTCAAATTACCATCATTTATGCATCAAATAATATATGTATGTATTTATGTATATGAAAATTGTGTAAGAATATTAATAAATAAAATTATTATTTTATTTATGTTAATTATAACTATCATATGCTATATAAAATTATAATAACTTTTGGGGACAACTTGTCTACTTTTGTCATGTCGAGTCCTAGTCATACCAAATACCAGATAGACACTTGTTCTGTTAGTCCATTCTCGTCCAATCAAACCCTTTTGTTCTTTTCAATCCCAGTATGTCATATCCAATTATGTTTATGTACCAAATGATACCTCTCTTAGTGAATAACCCTACGGTAAGAGGCAATTTTGTCCATTCTTTCATTTTCGTTTTGCAACCTCTATCTTTATTAATTATCATCTTTCAAACGAATCTTTACTCAATCAAATTCGATAATTAGAGGATCAAAATCTATACACTCAAATTTGCGTTTTAATTTTGATGATGACTATCCGTTTGATTTTGTCCATATTATTCAAATGTTCATTACATGAAGATTCACTTATGACTTAATTTATTTCTTTTGGTTTTAAAAAGAATTGATTTTTATATAAGATTAAGGATGAGAGGTTGAAGATCGATAATGAAAAAATAGAGTAGATAAAAACCTTTTCCTACTTAACGTTCTCTCATTGATGCCATTAGTTTGAAAAACAAAGTAACACAAAATCGATTATTTGTATCGTAAATATAAATAAAATCAATAAAATAAAACTATAGATTAATATAATCTAAGAGCTATTTTTCTAGTTAATTTCTTTTTTAATCAATATCAACGAATCTATTGATAACACGAACAATCAGTAACACTTAATATAAACAGCCGATCATATTTTAATAATTTATTGAAAAATTGTTCTTAAGTGAAAACACTTTGAACATTGGGCAAATTCCACAAGTCAATTCACGTGGTTTTATTTATTTTTTATTTAGTTAGGTAGGATTAATCAGTTTATAATAATTTCTTGAACGTTGATGTGAAGGGAAAACGTGTAGGAATTAGTTTCTCAATTAACAAACCTCGAGTGTTAGTCATATCGACGGTAAGACAAGTCTTTGAGGTATCTTTTTAGTCATCAGTTTGAGTTCCTCTAATGTCATTTAAGATTTTTCTAATTATTTTGCTGGGCTCATAAAATTAGTCAAGGTGCAAACAAACGGACTCGAATACCCATATTTAATTTTTTTTTAATCTTGTTATTTATTTATATTAGTGAGAAAAATGCACTTATCATGGCAACATTTCCATTCTAAATCTAACATGCATGTTATAGATATAAATGTGTACACCTTTTTTCCTAATTCGATAGAATAATGTATAATCCGAGAGCTATTTTTGTGTTTTAAGTAGTCTTTGTTTGGTAGGAGTTGATTGTAAAAACGATCCCATTTTAATAATTTCTTGGAAAATTGACTTATTGTGAGAACACTGGGTGCATATTTTGAAAGTCAACAAGTCAATTCTCGTTTGACTTGTTATTTAATTTAATTGGGTAAGGTTCTACATTAATTATAAACTACCAAAATTTTAATAATTTCTAGAAATTTGATCGAGGTGAGGTGAGGTCAACATCTGAATTAAAATTTTACTTTATTTATAGAAAACACCCAAATCTTTTATTTTATTCATATTTAATCAAGTATATATATATATATATATATATATATATATATATATATATATATATATATATATA